TATTATGGAAAGGTCAGCTATTCCCTATAATATTTTTGCTAATAAGGAAAATGCATCCTCAGGCCTCCCCCATTTTCTCTTCCACTTCCACCCCCTGCTCACCAGTCACCTCTGCAATTCTCAGTTCTCACCAAATCCTGCCCACCAATGGACACCACTAGACCACCATCCTTCATTCCTAAATCCTAATCAGTAATCAAACTTCAAATTTCATTCAAAAATCAAAATGTACACAGTACACAGATCACATATTGAAGCATTGAGTCCTTGACAGATAATATATCAACAAAATTCAAAATCCAACATCAATATTCAAAATCCAACATCAAATTCAAAAGCCTTAAAAAATCAGTAGGCACGCCGCATGGCGCACGCACTAGTTGACTGGCAGTCGGCGGAACTTACCCCGTCAGTCGTCACTGGAGCTGGCAAGCAGGGAAAAGACAACCAGGATGTACCGGGGAGACCGAGAGAGCTCAGAGAGGAGGGAGAGCTGGAACGGGTGGAGGCAGGCACGGAGGCGGAGTTGGGACGGTGGGAGAGATGACGGAGAGAGAGGTGGTGCCACTGCTGGGTGCGATTTTGAAGAGAGATGACTGATGAGAGGAGAGACGAGGGTTTTGCCTTGATTTTGAAGGGAATGAAGTATTTNCACGTGCCCCACTAGGCCCTACTGTAGCTCCGCCCCTGGGTTGGATTCAAAACGATCTGTTAAGTTTCTAAATCTAACTGTTATCAATATGCATTAAGGATAGAATATGTATCCAGTCTCAAAAATCTCTTAAAAAATAATCAATTGTCCTAATAGGGATTAAGTATTAGAAATTATACATCAACTGGAATCTGAAAGGAATGTATAATATAGTAACAAAACTTACGTTTTCTGAGATTACAGAGTGTTCTTCTTTTCATTAAGTTGATGGTTCAACCTTAACTCAAATAGATTTTATGACAATCCAGAGTTGAAAATAGATAGATTATTAGTTTTAAAACTATCACAACTGAATTCAAAAAATATTTTTGACCTAAAAATGGCTATCCTTGTCTATTTCTATAATAGAAACAGGATAGAAAATGTGTGCAGGTGTTCTTCTAGAGTTTTCCCTCCTCTCCGATCATTGCTCTGCATCATCCTCAGTTCATTTGCTCTTTCCACCAGAACAACTCTATAATTCTAATCCTCTGCTTCAGTTATAGGATGTGAGAATAGAAAAACTGCAAAAGTACAATTAAACTAGTTGTGTAATGTTTTGAAAATGGACAGTAGTAAAATTATACTTGTAAACATTCATTATTCATCTTGTTCAATGCAAAGGTATTGTTCAAGTGTCCAAATTGTAAGTGTTATGCCACAAATCTAATCAACTTTAGATTTAAACACTTTTAATATATAATTAATATATTTCATTTATAACAGATCTATTATTTAATTGAATTAATATTCTAATAAACTAAATAATAGAATCCGTAAATTCAA